CAAGTTTATTATTTTTATACTTTTAAAATATAAGAATAATAAACTGTTTTTGTTACTAAATTATTTCACATTGTCTAGAATGCAACTGCCTTTTAGAAAACCCCTAAAAACAATGATTTAAAATAATCTACCATTGTAATTTACTATGAAAATTGCAAATTTCATGAGTATCAATTAGTGTTAAAAATCTGATTTTAAATTCATGTTTTTATGAAAACACAATTATTTAATTTAATATTCTCAAAAATATTTTTATATTCTCAATATCATTTTTTAAAAATTTTTAGATAATATTAGTAATTTATTCAAATTTTTGTCCTAAACATCCTCATCATTTATGTTTATTTATTTTTTTTTGAAATTTTTTAAGCTTTACTCATTTTCTAATTGTTAACTTCATTAAGTATTATACTATATAAAGAACATATTTATTAAGCAATATGTTTTCAAAAATTTTTTTAGAAAACATATTTAAAGTAACAAATGTTCTCAAATCCAAAAGTATGTTCTCTTAAGAACATGAGAACATCAGATTTTCTACACTGGTGTCGATCACACAAATTTCATAGTAAAAAATTTATCACCTGATCTGCGTGACATCTCGGTTGACTGATATACATCTGGCTACGCAATTAATGCTTAGTTACAAACTACCCACAGATTTTTACTGATCGACAATTTTTTAAGGCCATAAAACGTTATATTGGGGTCAGGTTTACAATTACGTAAAATTTTGCAGGGGATTTTTTTACTAATGGTTACATCACGAAATATTAATCTGATTGGTCAATCGCTGTCGATCAGTGAAAAATTCCCACTCATGTTTAAATGATGTGCATGCATGCATAGATAACGTATTTAAGTGAAATTTATCATATACATACGTATTGATATCAGTCTTCGGTTCATATCTTAAGAATGGCAGACGAAGAATACGAAAGTGTACTGTTAGTATTGCGAGAATGTTATGGTAAATTAGGAGAAAATTATTAGAATTTGCCATATATGAAGCACTTGATAGCCAAAACTCAATATTTTGCTCATTTTTAGTCTATAAAATTCCACCAAGAACGTCAAGCAGAGAGTATAGGTATGAGTCATTCTCATTAACTCTCGTCAACTTCCTTAATAATGAACCATATCTCTATTAGGGCAGCGGAATGGGGTGATATGGAAGCTTTTTTATGGAAAGGTCGATTAAGAATTATGGCTGTGGGCGAAAAATGTTTTATTAGATTAGAAGATGGTAATACTGGTATGAACTAGTGTTTTATTTTCTTTATACGTTCATCCATTGAATAATTGGGTTTAATTATATAATTACAATCATCATACGACATACGCATTTATAATATGTTAGGTGAATTATTTGCACAATGTCTGTATGATCCGGATACTAACTCTGTTGAACCAGTACGTGATTCTTCTAGATATTTTGTTTTACGTATTGAAAATACTGATGGTAATGATTTATTTCTTCATGATAACGTTTGTTACGTTTGTTACATAATTTTTTTTCGGAGAGATATTACGAATTATATAGATTAGACAACCCAGTATTTGAACATAAATTATGTAACAAACGTAACAAACGTTATCATGAAGAAATAAATCATTACCATCAGTATTTT